CCAAATTCCATGAACGATCCAATTCTACCATTTGAAGACGCTGGCGAACGTGCTGTAAATGAGTATTCATGATCTGAAATGAAGAAGTAACTGGTTTTCAAACAGTTTTCAACATTTTACTCAACTTACGAATACAGTCCGCCATGCAGACACAAATGGAGCAAATGGAGAATTCTGGGGTCGACCTCGGCACCATTTGATGCAGTAAAACAACCCAACATGACCTTATCTAGTTTTCGCCTCCACGATCAAATTTCTTTCCTGTTATAAAACTACGATAAGACTACTGAAAAAATGGAATAAATATATCACTGATCTCAACATAATACATCAATAATCTTTAAGCCAAGGGTGCTGTTCACAACAAAGTTATATAGGAGAATTGACTTCAAGCTTTATTTTTCCCAGATATCTGTATTACATTCATGTGATGTCTGGGTTTTTTGTTAATGCGAAGACAATATTTCTAGATCTCTTTATGTGCTACACAAACAAACTTTATAGCAGACTGTTCCGACTGACTTTGATGTCAGAAAGAACAACCAAACTGTAAATCCATTATACATCAAATTTTGTGTAATTTATATAATAACTTATCCATGCCTGTACAACTGGTATGTTCCTGCATAAATAGGAAGAAATATATTATTATTATTAATTGTTGGTTAATCTTGTTTGTGTCCGGACATTCCACAACTTACAATCGTCAACCTGAGAAGGGTTGTGGGCGTACTGGTGTAAGTCCTGCAATTCTTCAAAGGAATTACATCGAGACACGATCCGCGAGTTTGTGCGTACTGTTTGTATATACGTGTGGTGTGTCTTATCAATTTGTGATTTTGGATTCATTGTGTTTACGTGTTGTTTTCATACCTTGTTGTTATTGCGTAATTTTGTTAAAATTTTCGTCGTGATTACTTCTGAAGTTGTTTCGAGTCTTCTACATCCGTGAATGAATTGATTGATGTTAAGGAGAGAAGATAGGTGGTCCACGCCGGGTAGGCTATTGCTGAGAATGACATGCATACGGAGATAATGATTAGCTGTTATCCCACACACCGGGGAGCGGGAGTGTAGACGACTGAGGCTCGCATACGTCACCGTTACTAGAACCGAGGCAGAATGAGTGACAAGCGATTGCAGTGGTAATTGGTAGTGAGTAGATACGATGATGTGCGTAGAGTATCGTGAGGTGCTCCTATGGTCACGTTGCTTTCTGTAAGAGTCATTCTAGCAAGTGGCGATTGTGTTGCAAGATGTCAAGAAAATACCGTTTTTGGAGGCGCAGGTCGTCATTGATGTGTGAGACTGTGCTGTGGGTATGCTTGTGGTGTGTTGGCTTTTCTGTTTGTTTTCCATTTCAGCTCTGTCCGTGTGACCCAGGTTCTCGCGATGGCATCCAAGTCAACGTGTATCGGTCGTGATGGAAGAAAAGGGATGGATCCCATTTTGCCGGGGAGTGTCAATGTAGTTGAAGATTGAACGATCAATTCATGGTTGTTTGCTCAAACCCAACTTCCCTATATTTTCGCGGAGACATCGATACACCAGTCATCGTCTCATCGGTCGCTGTTAAGAAAGATTTTAGACCAAAACTGTCAGATACCTTAGTTAAAACTTAATTGTAAAGTTGGCTATATGTTGGTGTTACAATGAAGAATTCTCGAGTCGCCAATCGGTGTTCTGGTTTTGCGTCGGTTATTGGTGAGCGTTTCTGAGAAACTTCAAGGAACAGCGTGAGTCCCAGTGTAGTAAGAGCTGGGAATTGACGGTTTACGAGACGTGGCTGACACGGACCTTTCTGTAAATTAACGTTTAGCTTCATCACATGAGGACACAGAATATTGTCTTCCTTCAGCCCTACTTTCTTTGCCATCCGTCCTGTGTCTTCATAACATTCCATAGCTTATTCAACCGAATTAAGCTCTTCCTAGAAGTTAACCAAGTCCTTAAATTTAGGTCCCCTACCGGCAGCAAAAATTCAGCCGGCCACGTCAGCCTCTTTCGCTGGCATTTTAGTAGAGACGCACCTAATGACTCATTCTTAAATTATAAGAGAGTTCAAATCAGAAATGTATCCAGTGTTGCTTTGAGTTACATGGGCATTACGAAGTTAAATAGCGAGCTCGGCAGGATCATACCCAGTCACGTTAATAGACAGAGAATTCCTTACAGTTCCGTCAACGAGTGGACCAGCGATCATGTGATGCTAACCGAATAGATCACGCAGCATTTGTACGTGTCTTCGAATGCAGTGAACGAAAAGGTAAATTTATTATTATTGCTAATTATCTCACAAATATTCCATGCTTAGACTGACAGGTGCTACTTCATACAAGTTAAGAAAAAGTTGCTTTTGTGGCTGGGTGATACCATAACGGAAGAATAAAGATAACAACAGCAGCAATAAATGGAACGTCATGGAAGAAAACCATCGGGACAAGAAGAACAGGAAAGGAAGCTGGGTAATGGGAAAGAACCCAAAGGAATTTTGCATGAGTAGCAGCGAGACACTCACAATGCCACTCCATCCCTTCAGGGTTTACTATTTCCCTAGTGAGCTTTCTCACTCATTTGTGCATCTGTACAATTTCCTAAAGTATTATTCGGTCATTTTAAGGTGTCTAATGATGTGTCCACTCAGATTTCCTGGCCTATTTCCACAGCTCTCGTGTCCTAGCCTGACGGCATCTTTTATGGAAATTCTTCGGGAAATCGCCGTCGTTTTTCAAAAAAGGCTGCTCAATAAGGCCAAAATAACTAATGGTGAGGCCGGGAGGATGTTTCACACTGCTGCATAAAAGGATTGTGTGTCAACACACCTAAATGCATGCATACAGTGTAGTCAGTCGCGATGGCCATGCCTTAGTTGCAACTTCCATCCATTTTTCCGTTACTAGTAAGGAAAGTCCACTTTCTGTCACTATGTTCACAAGTAGATTTTCGCACAGCTAGTAGGTAGCTATGTAGATGTTGCCAAGGGGTTGTTGAATACTCTTTGGATGAGGGGTTTCTGTAAACTGCTAAGTGTAAACCCAAGGATTAGTATTGGAAAATGAACAGTAAAGGAAGGTAGGAAGACTCGGCCAGGACAAAGAAGAATGTACATTTCCAATGACCTTAACTGAATTACTTGAAAACGACATCAGGTTGTTATGCAGTAGCAGCTAAGGCTTTCCGAATTTTATGGGTATTTCTCAAGGCTTTGAAACGATTAGACGAGTTTATGTTCTAAGTACTCCACGCAACACATGTCAGGCCCCATCTATAATACTGCATACAAGTGGTGAGTCAGTGCCTCAAGAAGGAGGAAAATATCTTGAAAAGAGTACAGGGGTTGAGGACTACATTAGTTAGTAGTATCTAACGCCTTACCTATAACAAGAGGATGGAGCACTTAAATCTCTTCCCCCCATCATACCGAAGGAGGACAGGCGGCTTAATTTTGACGTACGGTGTACTAGAGCGTGATTTAGAGATTGACCTTTTGAATCTCTGCTCTCCTGCTAGGATACATTTGCGAGTGCAACACAAAATAGTGTCGAAACTGAGGACTAATAAAATACGGGTGGAATTTAGATTCCCTGGTGTGGTAGTCAACGATTAGAACTTCCTAACTCAGCAGCAACAGCTCCACCAGAGAACTCCTTCAAAGAGAAATTAGATCTTTGCAGAGATATAGATTGCAAGAATTAACATAAGCAACAAGAACATATCAATCCTTATGATCTGAATCTGATATCTGATAATGGAATGGACAATCGTGCAGCAACGCAGGTACCGCGTCCAAATGGCCTATCCTCTTAAAATCCCATACACCATTCAGATATAGACAAGTAAGTTCATCGTTTTACTGTTACTGATATTATACATATACATGAACTTCAAAATTTAATCAGCTGTCTGTTTTACATTTCCTTTATTTATTTTTCTGTCTTTCAGCTTAAATAACTTCACTAATTGTATCGATTACTATTATCTCTTTTCTTTTGACAACGATACCGGATGACTAACTGGAGGGATCAAGGGATCAACTCCATTCACAGTAGTAACAGTCTTAATACACAGCAAACTACAAAAAACATATAAGTAATCCCAACCTACTCCTCTTGGAGTCAAGCAAAGCTACGACAGTTGAGTGGTGGGACGAGTTACTCAGAAGTTTAACAAAGATCAGGAATCTCTACCGGTAAGAGTACACAATAGACACCAAAGTTAAATGACCTTGATTTGACTAGTCAGACAGCTCGTCATTACAAGTGGTTTCTAGTCATAATCCTCTTTGCAAGTGTCTCCGTATACCTCACAATCAGGAGGCGAGTAGAAAGAAACCAAATTGGTTTATACTAGCTCGTAAAAGCGACATTGGATATTGGATAGTGGGTGGTATGGAGTGTGCGTTACTTGTGAAGGTTGACATCATGATGTGACTGGACTAGGTGTTTATTTTGTACTGCTTCTTCAGCATAAATTAGCGCCTCAAGTCTTTTTTAAAAAGACATCTGATATCTTCTGAATTTTTTGGTCGAGTAACAGGAACTATACTATATTATTATTATTACTATCTCTTTTCTCTTGTCGACAATACCGAAGGACTAACTGGCGAAAGGATCAGCTCCAATCACAGTAGTAACAGTCTTAACATACCTCATACTACAAACCACATATAATTAATCCCAGCACTACTCCCTTTGGAGTCAACCAAAGCTACGACAGTCGAGTGGCGGGACAAGCTACGCAGAAGTTTACCGAAGATCAAGAACCTATACCTCACAATCAAGAGGCGAGCACAAAGAAATCAAATTGGTTTATACTAGCTCGTAAAAACGATATTGGATATTGGATACCCGGATATTTGTATGTCTGCTGCTTAAATTTTGGTACTTACTTTCGTGTCAAAGCGATACGACACAGTTACTTAATCCAAGCTACTAAAAACGTCCGAAATTTGTGTTGGAATGATTCGATGTGAACATATTGTCATGGGTGTACAATAAGTTATGATAGTATTTATTAGCATAGCACTATCAGCTGCACTGATGGGTTACGTCTTTTGTTTCGCAGTCAGGTAATAGAAAGCTTTAATTTGACCATTGATATTCACAGCAAATTTACTGTGAATAAAAGGATTCAGCAAACAAGTGTGTTTAGAGAGACACCTTCAACACCCACGAGTGAGTATTTAGCATCATGGAAGCATTCGCATGAGTAAGTTAAAAAAAATATACTGTTCACGTTACACTTTAAGGTCTCCGGATACTTATTTTGATCACACTAAAGTTACCATTGGCAGCAGGTCAAATGTGGCTTTACAAACGGTAATCCATTCTGAATAATGTTATTTATCTTTAGATTTTCGACTTGCTACTGAAGGAATACATCGACTTTTGGTATAAGTAGGTTTCGTTATTTCCTGCTGTAATTTCAGGCCCTTGACTTCAAATCCAGACTTCATGATCCAGCTGAAAATGTTTGTGCAATATGCTTGTGCTATTATTGTGCAGAGAGTGAAAAACGTAGGTGCTACCTTATATATATATTCGTTCGTAGGTTGAATTTTCGGAGTTTCTCATTCATCGGTTTATACCACACTTCTTTGACCATGTTGTAAATATCTTATCCCTTGCTAGTTCAGGTGAGCTCTTATATATATATATATATATATATATATATATATATATATATATAAACCAAGAATTACAAACAGGGTCACTTGGTTGTGTTGCATCTTTCTGATTAGCTTTACCCTTGCATCGTGGGTTTTCGGCTGTTTGATGTTTCTGTGGCTTTACATTTTCAATCATCTCGGCATTATGATGACATTTATGAATGTGAATATGTAAAATTTTAATGCTTTTAGGCAAACATCCACACTTTTATCGTTGGATTACCATTGTAATCAATTTATTAGCTAAATGTCGATATCCTAATATTTTACTACAGTATAACGAGACATTTTAAGTACACTTGTGGAGTTTGTTGCTGACTTTTCAAATTATTTGAACAATTATTATTCTAAGAATAATTCTGTGGTTTCATCTCAATTAATGGCAAATTTGTTAATGTCGGAACTACGTTTAGACTCGGAGACAGCTTGCTTTTCACAATCCATTAGTTGAAAAGCGCAAATCACAGTGTATATTTAATTAGGGTTCTTAGCATGAAAATAGTGTTGTTACTCAATCTCCATTAAAAGCGTTAAGGGATATAAGTACCATTTATTTAAATTTGGGTTTTTGGAATTCGTGTCATGTATACTTGTGTTTTAGTATCACTTTGAAATCGTGTTGTTCTTTATTTGTATATACACTATGTAGTAACTTAAAAGCACGATTTCTGTAGAGATAACCGAGTGTCTCAAGGGCTTAAAAATTTCTTAAACATCTGTCATATCTCTCAAAACTGTATCATCAGTCATGATATTGGTCAACAGTTGATGCATTTATAGACACCAGTAAAAGATTAACTTTTAACTTTAACGAATTTCGCAATTGCCATATTTCTTGACTTGAAGGCGGCCTTCGACTCCGTGGATCGAAAGGTACTATGGCACTGTCTGACTGTGAAGGGAGTGCCAAGAAAGTACATTGCACTAATCAAGGCACACTATTCAAACTCACGTAGTCGTGTAAGGGCTTATGGGGAATTGTCATCTGAATTGGTAACAACCAGTGGTGTCCGACAGGGATGTCCACTTTCCCCATTTCTGTTTAACTTCATCATAGATATGCTGATGGAAGTATCCTTAACTGAACGTAGTGACTTAGGAATCGACTTGTTACCAGGGAATAATCTAATGGACTTAGAATATGCAGATGACATAGTCCTGTTAGGGGAGGATGCTGACAAAATGCAGAGTCTTCTGAACACCTTGAGCAGGAATCTTCGTATGTTTGGCATGCGATTCGCCCCTGCAAAATGTAAGATGCTGCTACAGGACTGGACTACGTCAACTCCTAACTTAGTGATAGGGAGTGAAGTGATAGAACATGTTGACCACTTCACCTATTTGGGAAGTTGTATTAGCACCAACAGACTGATTGGCAACGAAATCTCAGCAAGGATCCAAAAAGCTCGAGTTGCTTTCGCTGACTTACACCATCTCTGGCATAGGCGTGACATCCGGCTATCAATCAAGGGACGTGTGTACTGCTCATCAGTTCGCTCCGTCCTTCTCTATGGCTCTGAAACATGGCCAATACGCGTTGAAGACATGAAAAGGTTGACTGCTTTCGATCATAGATGTCTGCGATCTCTGTCTCACGTTAGGTGGTTTCACAAGATAAGTAATGTTGATGTTAGGCGTAGAGTGTTGGGCAAAGAGGGAAAATCAATCGACGAGGCTATAAAGTTACATAGACTAAGATGGCTAGGTCATGTGCTGCGCATGCCTAACCACCGCCTCCCCCGACGGGCTTTGCTAGCTGATATAGGTTCAGGTTAGAAAAGAGCCAGTGGTGGCCAAACAAAAACATGGCATCAATCCATGAAATCCTTGACAGTTAAACTGAGTCAGGTAGGGAGATGCAGACTTCCGGGTTGGGGCCCTCGGGACTCTAGGAATCAATGGCTGGAGACAGTAGGTGACATGGCTCAAAATCGTTGTCAATGGCGCAGATGTATTCAGTCTCTGTAATCTTTCATATTCCTTTCTACAATTACCCACTCTGTTTCACTCTTATATTTGTCAAACTCTATTGATTCTCTTCACTCATCTTCTTGTCTACCTTGTGTGCCAATTGGAACGTGGCAACTCGAACTGCTGCACTTCGGTGTCAAGTTCTATGTTGAATCCAGACAGACAGAATTTCGCAAGTAGCTTTCCAGTATAACGGTGTCTTCTAGGAAAGCTAATATTATGATTGAAAATAAGACGCTATTCGTCAGTCAAATGGTAGGCATTTACTAAGATAGTCTAGTAATACAAGACTAAATTAGTTGCAGTAGGAGAGTTGTGAGTAACAATGGTTGTACAGTAGTGTGGTTTGGGAAATTAACATACAAGCATCCACCGTTGAGTTGCCCAGTGTTCTGTAAGTAATCACCTTGATGAATTTAATTTGTTTGTAAGTAACATTGAGTCAGTTTACCCAGCCCAGTTCATTAGAATTTACATGGAAACAAATGTGTATTACAACGTGACTTCATATTATCCCAAACCAGAGCATGAGGTGTGACGCTGACTACTAGTGGACTTTGGTTATTTTCTTAAATTCGTGTAGCTTTTGATTCATATATCTGGCATTGTTATAAATTATTTGTTAATTTCGTTGAACTCTTTTGACGTGATGTACTTTTTTTATAGATAAACTTAATTCTACTCTTGTTGGTGAAAAGCATAATAGTGTCCAGGCAATGAAACAGAAGCATTTTCAAAAAAGGTATTTGACTTGCATAAGTATTTTTGTCATTATCAAATCCGCTTTTAGATCTTTGAAATCTTGTTCTGAAGAAGTTATTTTATGTGCTTTCGGTGATCGATTACATCCAGCCTTGTATTCTAGACAAGCTGAAGTAATGTATTTACGCGCGGTGGTGAGTCGTCTGCTACCATTTTTGGGTCTGCCGCCTAGTCTTACTTGTCCAGACATACATAAGTCAGGAGAACCTTCTGTTGATCATGTTCCTCGCGCTCGACGTAATCGAATGATGCATATGTCACCTGGACGTTTACAGTCCAGTGCAGCCATGCCAAATAAGCCGTCTGTTCCTCGGAGTGCTTCCAGTGGTGCTTTGGGTTTTCAGAAGTTGATGAAACTAGGATGTAATCCGTAAGTCAAGTACATATATTGTTATACCTTTATGCTTGTTTATTACCTGCTCACATTTAGTTAGATTTCTGTATTACTTGAGGTGTTAGTTAAAAGTGAAACAGGCATAGTATAACGGGAGATTTGTGCAGTGACAGTCTCTATTATGTTGCTTAGAACAGCTAAATAAATAGATGAAGTTTAAAAATTGAGGATATTCAACTTATTTGTTAAGAACTGATATTGTTGAATAATCTGTCTTGTGGTTTTAAATTCACTTCAACTTTTGATTGTGAAATAGGGTAGTAGTTGTAAGTTATAGGTCAGTTTTTTCAAGTTATTCACTTGAAGGCCTACTGAGACACTGATTTCAATGTAGGTTTTGTTATAAACCAATGCTGGTTACAGGACATTTCAATAACACTGGTTACTAGGTAGGTGTTTTGTTGTAATCAACTATTTTGCAGTGTTCATTCATCAATCGATGGAATATGAAACAAGACTGTTAAGCCTCAAGATTAGCTCGGTATGGCTTAGTCACTGCTTTGACAGAATTTAATGGCCGGTTTCTCAGCTTCCAACTTCCGGTATATCTGGCTCAATAACTTTCAAGATTCGATAAAAGATGATTCCAGTACTACTTGGTATTTGGTGTTTCTGTGTGATGAGGACTACCTCACAAAGTTTTTGAGAATACTTTCTAATATCTATTGACATATACTGTTGTAGAATGTAATAGTGTAAGTTTTAAAAGAAGCTACTTACGCAAAGAAGAAGGTACCCGTTAGATGAGTTTATTTTATGTAACACACTGACAGTAGTAGCAGCTGAACGATAGTCTAAGCATAGTCTATTGCTGATAATCATATCTCAATGTATTCGCACGACTTGATAACTTGTTTTAAGTGGCTTTACTTCCTACTGTTTTTCATTGCATATATCTGGTATTGGTGTTGCGTCATCGTGACTGCATATATTTGATGATTTGGTGATTAACCTCCCTCTCCACTTAACTAGATTACTTTTTAAAAGTGACAGTATTTTAAAGTAATATAGCTAGATGAAAAGAGAGGTTAATCACCGAATCAATATCTGGGGTATTAATTTCCTATAACCTTTCATCATGGCTAAAAGCGGTCAGTGCGAAAATTATCTAGAAGACTGGGAATGACATAGTCTCCAGGTTTCCATAGCTTTACAGCTAGTTTCTTTCTAAAAGCCTCCGTCAACGTTCGACACAAAGATTATTCGTATTGTTCATCGACGATAAGCTAAACGCATGTTCACATATACTATGCTGATATAAGTGAGATTTAAGTTGAAAGTTTACCATTAGGGATAATTCTTGTGGAATTTTCTCTGAGTGTCATTCACCGTGTCTAATGATCGAATGCTGTGTATAGCATCCGCTAGGACATCGGTTTCCAGTTAGGTTAATAGTAGTCAAAGACCGTTTATACTTATTGAAGGCAGCACCCTGTATCAAATATACATGCGTGCCGTATCTTGAGTTTTATGCTGATTTCAGTTATCATATATATATATATGTTTTATGGCTAGCAGGCTTTAGTATTTTCAGAGTAGATTTTGTAACTGTTTCACACCAAACTGAATAACCATTGAAAACCTAGTAGCACTGGAGTTTGAAGTCCCTCTTCTCTATACACATAGGACTTGTTGAGGAGTTAATTTCAAAGTTGTTAGAGCAGTGTTCTGTAATTTCAAGTATCTATCGGCTCACGACATAGTACAATTCTCATAGTCTGTAATGAAATTCATCCTAAATTTAGTCAAAATTCCTGAAAAATTAACAATTGTGCGTCATTCCGTTGTTGAGTTGTGAGTAGTATCCGTCACGTGAACAAAGTTTTCCGACTTGCATATCTCAAAGACACAACAAATCATACTGGTTCGAACTGATGTTCCTGACTGTCTTATCCTGCCAGGAATGTCTCTTGAACAGTTACTGGACTTAAAGCAGTTATCGTCATAATCTGTTTACATTGTAGCTGGAACCCAAGGGCTAAGTCACAGAGTTGATGTAACAGCAGTAATGGTGTTTCCCTCAAACGACCACTAAACTATTTATGTTACCTTCCCGCTCTGAGAAGGAGTTAGAAAAGATCATCGACTGCTGACATAAAGCCGTTAACGGAGACGAACACATTGCAGTGGAATAAATTATTGATTCAGGGAATGTATGAGGTCTCCTTTCCTTCTAAAACACCTGGATTTAGAGTCCGATGATGCATGTGTATAGTTGTGACATCGTTCGTAGGAAAAAATCAGAGGCAAGGCCACTGCATGTTTAGCTCTTCGAATAAAACATCAGTTCGGTAAACTTTTGATTAAAGAGGACAACAATACTCCTGGCACCATATCCAATCTACTGTAGAATCAGAGGCAGTAACAACCAGTGTGTTCTTCACGAGTGTCTACTTAACCATTCTTTTATCATTCTGTTCTAAATTTACTGACGGATGTAATCTCAATCCATTTCAATTTTTCCAGGATTTTCTAATTACTAGGGGATATTACAGTTTTAGATTACTTAGATGATATCGTTTTTATTCGAATTACCCTGACAAAATACAGTGTTTTCTAGACATGTTGAGTGAAAGTATGAGTTTGTTTGATACGCAAACCACGTCTAACGTCCAGTTTCTCGCGTTAGATGGTACAAAATGATCAGAAGGAATGTTAGGCTTACTGTGTTAGATAAGCAGATAAGCATTCATTCTTTGTGATCTCCCATATTCATTAAACCTTAATGTTTCTTCATTTTACTATTCTTTTCTCTTCACATTTCTGCTTTTTACAGTACTTTTGAATCTCTTCTCTCTTTCGTCTAAATTTGTATGCTGCATGGGATATGGCAACTTTAACTGCTGCACTTCTGTGTAGAGTTTTATGTTAAAATTCAGTTAGTCAGTTAAAAAACACTGTTAGCTGGCATAAGATTCAGTTGGAAAAGTGTTATGAGTGGTCAGACCAAATCATGGTATTAATTCATGCAGTCTTTGACTGTTGCTTTGAGAGCCGTATGAAGCTGAAGGTTGCCTGGTTGTGGTCCTCGCGATTTTGAACAAGGAAGAGTGTTAGGTAATATGAAGAAGTTGTTCGATGAAGTTGTGAATCTTCATCGATTGATTAGCTGGGATGTGTTGTATGCATGTCGAACCACTGTTTTCCTGAAAATGTTATATTATCTAAAGTAGTATTAAGTCAGAAAAGAACTAGATTTGGTCAGACGAAAAGCATCAGTTCGTGAAATTGTTAACTGCAAATTTGGGTCACATATGTGTGTATAGATTGGCTAACTGAATTCCTCTGGATGTCAGCGATTAATTGTTGAAGAACCATGGTATTCCAGCGCAAATCTTTCTCATTCGCTCCGGTATATTTTCTCGTCATTTTCTAAATGCTAACAATCGCAAATTACAATTTAATCCATCTTTTTTCTATAAGTCTTCGTCCACTGTAGTTTCATTATATTCTTTTTCTTTACTATTTATTATTTATTTAACTGCTGCATTTTTCTCTAGCGAAATTCTGCGTTCTTAAGCCGTTTAGTCTATCAGTAGTTAATGGCGTGATTTTCAATAATTCTCGCAGTTGGTGCCAGTTTTATGACGAAGTCTACCTTGGCAGATTGTTTACGTTTTCGAATCATTCTTTACTACATTCTCTTCTCCTTGATTGGTTCTTTTTTAGATCAGCATATAGTTTGCTGATAGAAATCCTATCCACTTGTGTTCTGCTACCGGCTATGGATATTCTAGCTAATTCTGTAAGTCGAATCTTTTACAACATCACATTGAAATATTTTGTGTGTAAATTTTACGCAAAATAATATTTAAAGAACTGTTTTGAATGTGGTAGTTGATAAAACTAAGAAATAAGCTAGTAAGTACTTTTACGATTTATTCAACTTCTGCTAGAATGAAGACTTTCTACTACTGCTGTGTAGTGGACGACCAGGGTACTCTAGATTTTGTCATTTAGATGGGAATTAAGGTATGAATGTATATAAAGCACTGGGCCGCATCATCCGTAGTCTGTAACTATCTGTTTTAGTTAGGTATTGAATGTTGGCTAAAAAGTCTTCTACAATTCAAACGAACATTCAGTGGCATCATTCATTAGTTGTTAGTATACTTTGGTTCTATCATCCATGACTTTATTTAACTCATTTTACAACAGTTAGTATTTCGCTTTCATGTAAGCCATTGGTTAGGCATGCATAAATATATATCCAATATCATCTGGATTGATGGCAGCTTACAATCTCATCTACTGGTTAACTCCATTTTCTCAAGCCTCTCTGTCTAGTGTTTGCATAATTTGCATGTTTCTACTACCACACATATGCATACACCTATTTTTGTCCTGATAATTAGCATTTCTTTTGACTTGATCTGATTTACTGGTATCGGAGTCAAATAAGCTTCAAATCTCTAGCTGATTTTCAGTCAGTATTATGCTAATTTATTTTCGCGTCATTTCACTTTTCAACTTTGATCGTATTTAAAATAAGATTACAAGAGGCACAAATATATGTTCACTCTTTATTATGAATATTTTGAGTATCTTGTATTAACTGTTGTCTGATTTTTATCTCATTTTTAAAGCAATTAGTTCCCTTTATGAATTTCGACAACACAATAAAAAGACGTAGCTTATCTGAAACGTGTAATGTATTGGCGCAACACATTTCGGACATTCTGATCACACACGTACTTGTCATACACAGTTTCTATAGAAGGCAAAAAGGCATGAATAATTATAATACAGGTCAGATTGTGTACAGGTCAAGGTCACACATAATGGGTAGGGAGGCGCAAAAGGTGTGGGTAAGAAAGAGAAAAAACAAAGGAAAGAAGGGGTTGAAAGTATTATGAAGTAAATTGATCTTTCTTACTCACACCTTTTGCGTCTCCCTACCCATATAGAAACTGTGTATGACAAGTACCTGTGTGATCAGAATGTGCGAAATGTGTTGCGCCAATACATTACACGTTTCAGACAAGCTACGTCTTCTTATTGTGTTGTCGATATCTCATTTTTGTTTGTTTTATTCCCATGTTAACTTTTTCAGTTTGCTTCTTGCGTGTGTGTCATCTGAATTGGTAACAACCAGTGGTGTCCGACAGGGATGTCCACTTTCCCCATTTCTGTTTAACTTCATCATAGATATGCTGATGGAAGTATCCTTAACTGAACGTAGTGACTTAGGAATCGACTTGTTACCAGGGAATAATCTTATGGACTTAGAATATGCAGATGACATAGTCCTGTTAGGGGAGGATACTGAAAAAATGCAGAGTCTTCTAAACACCTTGAGCAGCAATCTTCGTATGTTTGGCATGCGATTCGCCCCTGCAAAATGTAAGATGCTGCTACAGGACTGGACCACGTCAACCCCTAACTTAGTGATAGGGAGGGAAGTGATAGAACATGTTGACCACTTCACCTACTTGGGAAGTTGTATTAGCACCAACGGACTGATTGGCGATGAAATCTCAGCACGTATCCGAAAAGCTCGAGCTGCTTTCGCTGACTTACACCATCTCTGGCGTAGGCGTGACATCCGGTTATCAACCAAGGGACGTGTGTACTGCTCAGCAGTTCGCTCCGTCCTTGTCTATGGCTCTGAAACATGGCCAATACGCGTTGAAGACATGAAAAGGTTGACTGCTTTCGATCATAAATGTCTGCGATCTCTGTCTCACGTTAGGTGGTTTCACAAGATAAGTAATGTTGATGTTAGGCGTAGAGTGTTGGGCAAAGAGGGAAAATCAATCGACGAGGCTATAAAGTTACATAGACTAAGATGGCTAGGTCACGTGCTGCGCATGCCTAACCACCGCCTCCCCCGACGGGCTTTGCTAGCTGATATAGGTTCAGGTTAGAAAAGAGCCAGTGGTGGCCAAACAAAAACATGGCATCAATCCATGAAATCCTTGACAGTTAAACTGAGTCAGTCAGGTAGGGAGATGCAGACTCCCGGGTTGGGGCCCTCGGGACTCTAGGAATCAATGTGTGGAGACAATAGGTGACATGGCTCAAAATCGTTGTCAATGACCAGCGCAGATGTATTCAGTCTCTGTAATCTTTCATATTCCTTTCTACCATTACCCATTCGGTTTCACTCTTATACTTGTCAAACTCTATTGATTCTCTTCACTCATCTTCTTGTCTACCTCTGTGGGCTATTTGGAACGTGGCAACTCGAACTGGTGCACTTCGGTGCCAAGTTCTATGTTGAATCCAGACAGACAGTGTGTGTTGTATTAAAGTATGGCTGGTTTAATCTTAATCCAAGCACAGGGGATACGGATCGTCTGTCATTAAAGGGTAAATTTTTAATAATTAGTTGGTATTTTAACTGAGTGGGTGGCAAGTATTTTTAAAACATCATTGGATCATATTTATTGATCAAAAAGCCGTTTGAAAAAAACCGAACAGCAATAAACACATTCTTATGTGCTTTTGAGCACGTTGATTGATATTCGTATCCAGTCAGAGGAGATCTGACACAGGATATTCAAACTGGGTGGTGCGAGGAAGTCAACATTCATCTTCTGGTTTTATGAGAATTGCCGAAAAATTGTTTAGTTTCTCCGCAAACTATTTAGCGCAGAATAGCAGTTCATAGTACGAACTCTTAATTTGATTTTCTTATATGGTTAATTAATTTAAAGGTCAGCACATAGGCTCATTAAAACACTTGAAGATAACTCGATTGTCCTGAAATATGTGGGTTATTGGTGGTATCGCATTCAGTGTCTGAATGATATCGTTTTCTGCAAACCTCTAATTTTCTCTCTTGTTTGACAAATGGGATAAATTCCCAAATCATGATATGAAACTATCTTTTAGTATTAATCGTTTAGAAATAATTGGAATTGAAGAGTTTTTAGGTAACTCAGTCTTGGCCTGTTGAGCTTTCTTACCGCCATGAAATGAACACTGCTATATTGCAGATACATACGGCTGAATAATAAAAGCTCTAGGATAGCTGTAGTCCTATGAGGTATTCGGAGTGTGTTTATTTTGTCGACTTTTAATCACAAAGATAAAAATATGACACGTAAAATTTGAAAAGATATAATGAAATTCATTGGTGTGGGGCGATTTCCAGTTTATGTGTCAACTGCTAGTTAATCTATAAAAAAGTAAGCTAATGAATGGATTAGTGTTCGAGAAGGTACTAGTCGTCTTTATTTGTTTCTTCTCAGATTTTAAGTGTCTTTCAAGTTCATTTCTCTTGACTTCCTATTACACTGAAGTCAAATCATAGTTCATAATAATAATAATAATAATAATAAAGCATAACTAATTGTGGTTTTCTATGCTTTTCTATATTGTCACCATAAATCGCAATCAATACGCGAAGGATTTTCTCAATCAATTAATTCTACTGTGTTTTACGGATAATACAGTAAGTCTTTCTGTTAACATGAATTTTCTCTGTCCTCATAGTGTATTATATTGCTCGTAGTTAACCGATGTGCTTACTTGATCTGTCTGTAGGAGATTATGTGATTGGTTCGAGGAATATATTGGATAGCTTTTATGTAGGTGTATTAGACTCTTCTGGTGCAAAGAGGTTTATTCTGCTGAAGGTTCTGTAGCAACTTTGTTTACAGGGTGGGGTTGCTAGCCTCACGCCTGAGAAAGGAATGATTACATGAAGTTAAAGTTTAGAGAGAAGCGACTTTTTGGGTTGCTCCCCTCAAAATCAGCAAATAACGGACAAACAATGAGAACAACATCAACAAAGGAAACAGTTCACAGAAAAAAGGGCAAAAAGCGACGACAACTATACAATAAGACAGCATGCAATATAGTTCAGCACAGTTAACTAAAATGATATCTTAACCATAAACTCACTGACTTGGAGCAACTTGAACATATAAATCCAACAATATATACAATTATAGATGTGCTTATGTTTGAAAATTCCACAAATTCAGTTAGTTAGTTATATGTATTATCTGTCAATAAGATTGTATTTTTTGGATTCAGTGTTCGAAAGGTTAATAATTGTGATAGTTTCCGCAAACTCTTGGCATAAAATTTTACAGTAATAAGAGTTTTTATTAATAAGCAAAAAGTAGCGTAGTAGTCGGATAAGAGACTTGGCGAGTCATAAAGAGCATCTCAAACAAACTTCAAACCTTCATTAACAGCTGTCTCCGCTCAATACTCAAGATCAGATGGCCAGAAAAGATCAGCAACAGGGATCTCTGGGAGCGAACCAATCAGGAACCGATTGTGAAACAAATAGGCAGAAAGAAATGGAGATGGATTGGCCGTACGCTGAGGAAACCATCAAGTGACATCACTAGACAAGCCATTGCTCGAGTGGAACCCGAAAGGGAGGCGGCGAGTTGGTCGTCCAAGGGTGACTTGGAGGAGGTCATGCGAGGAGGAGATGAAAGCATGTGGACAGACCTGGAGCAGGGTGAAAAAGTTGTCAGAAAACCGAAGGCAATGGAGGTGCGCAGCTGAAGCCCTATGTTCCTCTAGGAACTAAAGGATACAATAATAATAATAATAATAATAATAAGACTCTTCTACAGCGTATTCAGACATACTAATTTCGTAGAGTTTTCTGCTTCACACTGGAAACACAGTGTTTCCACGGCCAATTCTTTCTGATTTGTCTTCTTTCAGCTACAAGATGGTGTCCTTCGAATGCTAATCATAAGAAGAAAACACCTACATACAGTCAAACTGTTTGGCATGCGATTCGCTCCCGCCAAATGCAAGATGATGTTACAGGACTGGACTACATCGACACCTAGTTTAAAAATAGGAAGTGAAGTGGTAGAGCACGTTGACCGCTTCACTTATTTGGGAAGTACTATCAGCCCCAACGGGCTGATCTCTGACGAAATCTCAGCACGAATACAACGGGCTCGTTTCGCATTTGTTAGTTTACGCCGACTCTGGCGTAGACGAGATGTTCGACTATCGACCAAAGGGCGGGTGTACTGCTCATCAGTCCGCTCCGTCCTCCTTTATGGTTGTGAGACCTGGCCACTGAGAGTGGAAGACATGAAAAGACTAGCTGTCTTTGATCATAGGTGCCTGCGTTCTATTTCCCGTGTAAAGTGGCATAATAAGGTGAGCAACATGGAGGTTAGGCGTAGAGTTCTAGGTAAACAGGGGAAATCAATCGACGAAGTCGTGAAGCTACAAAGACTGAGATGGTTAGGACATGTGTTACGTATGCCAAGCCATCGCCTCCCTCGACGAGCAATGTTAGCGGATATAGGGTCAGGCTGGAAAAAAGCTAGCGGCGGTCAAACAAAAACTTGGCATCAGTCAATGAAATCCACAACAGTTGGTCTAAGCCACGTAGGAAGGTGTAGACTTCCAGGCTGGGGTCCTCGGGACGGTAAAAATCTATGGTTGGAAACAATTGGTGACATGGCTCAAAATCGTTCTCAGTGGCGCAGATGCATCCACTCCCTGTGACTTATGATCTTCAATGAAACTGTTTTGTATTTCTTTATTACTCCTTTGTCTCACACCTCTGTTCACTGTTTCTATTATGCTTTTCTTGTACTTTCTTCTCTTGCTTCGCGTGCTACACGGAATGTGGCGACTTGAACTTCCGCACATTTGTGCAAAGTTCTATGTCGAAAACAGACAGACAGACAGAAACTCATTTCAGGTATCACGCAGATATATACCTTATACTCCTGGCTGACTGACTGAGTTTCAACATAGAACTTTACACAAAAGTGCAGCAGTTCAAGTTGCCATTCTCCATGTAGCCCATAAAGGCAGACAGAAGAAAGTAAAAATTAGATTCAAGGAAAAATAATTGGTGGAAGTATGAAGGAGAAAGAATAACGACATGGAAAACACACGACGGTTCAGTGGATATGAAAACTCATAGAAAGTAAATGCATATAGGTCACTGAGGGCTGTTTTGAGCCATATCACAAATAGTCTACAGGCATTTGTTCATAGCATTGTGCGGACCTCAGCCAAACAGTTTTCACCTTCGTACATCCCTCAAACTCGACTGTGAATAACTTCATAGGTTGATACCAGGAATTGGTTTGACCACCTCTAACCCTTTTTCAATCTAATCTTATGTTGGTTAGTATTGCCTGTCGAGTAAGGTGATGACTTGGTATGCACAGTAGACGTCCTTTAACTCCTATCGTAGTATGAACTATACTAACTTTGGATGGTGAGTATTTTTAGTCTTACAAACACTTAGTGGCTTAGTAAAGTCTCAATGAATAAATATCCCACCGAACATAGCTTATGTAATAATACAAGTTAGAAATCCGGTACATCAACCTTCAGTCATGGATTTAACGGTTAACCTTAATGTCTGTCTGTCTGTTTTCGACATAGAACTTTGCACATATGTGCGGGAGTTCAAGTCGCCACACTCCATGTAGCACACAAAGCAACAGAAGAGAGTACAAGAAAGGCATAATAGAGACAGTAAACAGAGGTATGAGACAAAGGAAGAGTAGTAACGAAGAACAAAACAGTTTCATTTGAAATCGGAGGTCACAAGGAGTGGATGCATCTGCACCAGTCATTGAGAACGGTTTTGAGCCATGTCACCAATTGTTTCCAACCATTGGTTTTTACCGTCCCGAGGACCCCAACCAGCCAGGAAGTCTACACCTTCCTACGTGGATTAGACTAACTGTTGTAGATTCCATTGACAATAAAGAAGAAAAAAAGGTTAACCTTAATGTCTCCTGGCAAATACGCTACCATGTTGGCGTTAAACTATGCTTCATTCTAGTGATTTTAACAGTTCAACCATTCCTTGGTAGTTTATACATTGGGTCTTATTAAGTCTAATATATGATAGCCGGTACACCTGTGGCTTTTAACTAAGGCTACATATTTCTAAATCAAAAAATTAATTTTCTTGTATTATCAGATACAACAACAAGGCATATTAAAAAACTATTCAGTTGAGTAGATTTTTCCAGCTGGAAGTGTTAAAGACATAACTAGATTGCATTACACTTCAAACGCTTATTGAATCAGTTGCTTTTCTTGTTCCTGCTTCAGCGGAACAACGCTACACTTAATGGGATTGATAGAACATTAAGTTTATTCTTTTTACAGAATGCAGAAACATTAAGGAGGGAAAGTTCTGAACATGTTCCTCTTCTTGAAGCATATATTCATGATTGGCAAAAATGGTTATCTAAAAAGGTAAGTTATCAATTTCGTTTAAATAAATTTTTTGTATCATTCCTTATTTTTACCAAGTTATTTCTTTTAATCCTAAAGTATACCGTAATGAGCAACACTGTCTTTTTACATCTGGTCGATAACTTTCGATCAACATACTTAGAACTGAACAGTTGCAATAGTTTACCATCTCAAACGTTTTAGCCATCTTTCTTCATATCAATGGATGTCATAATTATAATGACTGATGTTTAGTTTTTGAATGAACTGGTTTTATTTTCCTGTTTGACTGATTTTTATTCTGTCCCATTTCCACTGAACAGAAACAGTTAGAGTAAAAAATGACCCTGTCACTCCTGGGACTGGTGACACGGGTAAGGGCGAATGTAGTCTTATTGGTTCGAGTTTCTTAGGATGGACAAGCTTTCTTTGTTAGACGTGGAGTTATGATATATCCATGCACTGACATGATAACCTCACTGGACAGCTTTTGAGTGATATATTGTTGTCTCGAATTCCTGAGGATTTTGATGTCAATACAGTCAATCAGGTATGCTTCTCTATTCGTGGCTTAAATTCCTGAGGTCTTGGAAAATTCATATATGTATCGTTATTTGAGCACTTAACGTTATCATTGCTGTCGTAGTTGAATCTAACTTTTGTGCTTATCTCGGTCTGGGAGATGTTTTAAAGTGGTCAGTGGGTTGTATTGTCGTGTCTAGAGGTGTATTCTAGTTAGTTAGACGAACCCTCAACCCAGTAGCACTCCGTCATAACATAATGTGACAGATCAAAACTGGTGATTGGGTTAGTTTCCATCTATTCATGCAGTTGTATGGTAAAGCAACACCCCTGTATTAACGTGTTTCGACATCGGTGGCCCAGGAGTAGAGTGCCTGCCAGCCAAGGACATGGTCCTGGTTCAGTTATCGGCCGATACACTCCTAAACCTCACCTAGTCGATGATAAGCTTAGAAAAGAGGAAAGTCTGGACGTCAGGTTAGCAACTGCATAAGCGCTACTGAAACTTCTCAGCCTAAGGCTTTGAAGCTTTGTGTTCAAAGATAGGTCGCAAAAATTTGTGGCTAAATACCGCTTGTCTTTTCATATCTTTCGTTTTCATTGGTCATGTCTCACAGCCATAAAGGAGGACAGACCGAACTACTGGGCAGTACACACGTCCATTGTTCGATAGCCGGCTATCATATCTACGCCAGAGATGGCATAAGTTCTATCCATGCTGAGATTTCGTCTGTAATCAGTTCGTTGAGGCTTATGCGACTTCCCAAACTTGTGAAGTGGTCAACACACCCCACCACTTAACTCCCTACCTTTAAGCTAAGAGTCAGTGCAGTCCAGTCCTGCAGCATCATCTTGCATTTGACAGGAGTAATTATCATAACAAACATCTGAAAATTTCTGCTCAGTGTGTTAGGAAGATTCTGAATCTTGTCACCATCTTCACCTTGAGGGGGATAATATCATTCGCATACTGTAAGCTGACGGGACTGTTCCCCGGCAACAAGCCAGTCCACAAGTTGCTAATGTTCGATAGGGTCAGTTCCACTATTAAGAATTATGATGAAATTAAACAGAAATGGAAACACTGGGCATCCTTGACGGATACTACTGGCAGTCATTATTTCAGGTGACAGATTTATGTGGTTAGAATTATTATTATTGTTCCCTTGGTTTCCTAGTGGAACATAGGGCTTCAACTGCACGTCTCCACTTGCCACTTCTGTCTTCTGCTGTACTTTTCACCTGCATCCATGTTAGTCCATACTCTTTCAACTCCCCTTCACACGATCTCCTCCATGTCATCCTTGCACTGACGTCCCACTCGCCGATTCCCATTCGGGTTCCACTCGAGCAATGGCCTGACGCTAGCGCGATGTCACCCAGCGGCCTCCTCAGCGAGTGTCCGATCCATCCCCACTTTCTCCTGCATATTTGTTAGTTGGCGATTGGCTCTTGTTTTGTTTGTTCCCATAGTTTCTTGTTGGTGATTCTTTCTGACCCGGCCATCTGATCTTCAGTATAGAGTGAAGACAGCTGTTGGTTGATGAAGGTCTGCAACAGGCTGTTGGAAATATTCTTTGTGACCCGCCCGCCAAGTTACTGATCCGTATAGAAGAACTGATTGACTCGACGTTTGTATTGAAAATCCGACTGAATTTTGTTGTTGATGCTGAGTGTTGAAGACTTCCAGATTAGTTTCAGGTTGATGAATGTGTTTCTCGCCTTCCCGATTCTCGATTTGACTTCCTTGACAAATAATCAGAATTTTATTTTTAAAGAAAATAACCTTATTTTCTGCCTACCCTGCTTAACTTTAATCAGTTCTTTCGATTGACTTTTTTATATTCAGCCTCCATCATTAATTCATTTGGATACTCTTTTAAGTCATCAAGATGAATTATATCCATTTATGCAGTATATGAAGTCAATGAAATCAATTGGACCGTTGACTCTTGTATTGCTTATGCGTAAGTATATGTGTACTTTTTGTCTAGCTTTCTTTTTCAAACTCAAATCAAGTAGCTGTAAACTCACCAAATTTCGTTATCACTGTCTTTGGTACTTTCGAGTTTTCAAAGTATAATAAATATAGTTTCAAGGTATGTTTGGTTCAAGCGATACACTCTCTAGTGAGAGGATGGATTGGTTGCACCTTTTATTTATTGACATTTATTTGAACGTCAAATATCGACAGTGTTGTGTTTGATGAAGTGGTCCCACTTAAACACATCAAATTCAGGGCTATCAGGTCTGTATGAAAGTGTGCACAACTGTTTCACTCACTTATTAGTATGTATGTATGTATGTATTGTATTGTATTGTATTGTATTGTATTTGCTTACTTTCCATTTCACTCTCGCCTTGTTGCTTTTCTTTATGTCTTTATTTTGTATGACGAAAGTCATTGTAGGTTTCATTTTGATCGATTGTTGATCGTGGTTAATTTAGCAATCACTAAAATAAAAACTATTCAATTAATAGTTCCAAATTTAGAATCAATGATATATGTTGTGTAAAATGCTTGTCTATGTTTATCGAGGCTACTCCTACTCACTATCACTCACGATAAAGTATCTGTCACATCATTGATGAGATCAATAGTAAATGAAAGTTACACATGCTTTTGTGCAGTTTTTAAAAGCACTTTTTTAGTATAGCGTTACGCTTACGTTTATTTGACGGGATTTTTGTGTGCCAAGTTCATGTATTTCAAGGTGGTCGTCATTTTAAGTCGATAAAATTTAGAAAAGCCTTAGAAGCTGTAAAAAACTCTGAGTTGTTGTTATTGTTTCAGTAATCCTCCCACTGTTGTCGATAATTACCTTAAAGTAGTCATTATTATTATTTCCTTGGGTTCCAAGTGGAACGTAGGGCTTCAATAACAGATCTCCACTTTGTCCTTTCTTCTGCTGTCCTCTTCAACTTCGACCATTGTTGCCCACAATCTCTCATCGCCTCCTCGCCACACGATATCCCCCATGTCACCCTCTCACTGACGACCCACTCGTTGCTTCCGATTTGGATTCCACTCAAAAAATGGCCTGGTGCACGATTTCACTCGATGGCCTCCTCAACATATGCTCGATACACCTCCATTTTCTCCTACATATATGTCGAGCGATCGGCTCCTGGTTGCTTTGTTTATCGCCGTAGTTTCTTGTTACTAATTCTTTCTGGCCGGGCATTTGATCTTCAGTGGGGAGCCAGCAAAGGCAGCTGTTGATAAAAGTCTGTAACCTGTTGGAAATCCTTTTTGTAACACGTCAGCCAAATTTTTGAGCCGTATAGAAGAGGTGACTGATTCGACATTTGTGTTGAAAATCCGAATCTTGTCCTTTATACTGGCTGAGTGCATGTTGATGAAGGCGTATCTTGCCTTTCCGATTCTGGCTGCCTGGTTCTGACATCTTCATCGTTTCCGTCTGTAGTCGGAATGATGTTGGAATGATATTTTCAACTGTATTTTCTTTTCAAACGAAGCGAAGATTACTACTTGCTTTTATCACCCGATAGGTCACTAATGACAGTATTAAATACTTCACATTCTCAATCATATTTGTCAATAAAAATTTCGTTTGTAATCCCAAAATAAGGCTGTTTCTTATATTAGTTTGTCAGTCGAATTGCAGGAGGTAAGCCATAAGTTAGTATGCACTAGCATATTTAAAACAGTTCATGTTTCATCAAAGATTCACTAGCCTGTTCTGAGGTAACTATTACTAAACAGATTTATGACGAAATGCGTTTAAAATTAATCAACTTTACGTGATCTTTTAAAAGAATCAACAGACAAAAGAAGCCTAACCGGTCATGTTTTGTTGAGGCAATCCCCATCAAACGGCTAAAACCAAATCTATGTACGCTGAAAGAGACAGTGGTAAATCTTGCAATGTCTTGGCGATAAGAAAGCATAAAAATTTCACTAAGTTATCTTCCGTCCTGTTTAGAAACCTTGATTTTTTCGTCTAAACATGACTCATCTTATCCCCTCTTTTTCTGTCTTATAAAAACGTGTTTTTCTGTGGTTACGTAACCTATTGCTTCTTATACTCTTTCTGGTTAAACATTGTTTCTACCCAAAAAACATCTATTGAACTTTGTCCTTTTGTTTCTAAGCTTAGTCATGCAATTCTTCTATAAATATTCGATTCTTCTCCCTCTTAATTAATTAACAACTTGCATCATTCCTCTCCTATGACACTCTTAGTGCCGATCAGTAGTATGTTCAGATCTTTAATTTAATTTCTAATTTTGGTATTGTTCAGGTTTTAACCATCTAAGAAGAATCCAGGGAGTCTGCCTGTCTGTCTGGTTTCAACATAGAACTTTGCAATCCACGAAATAATAAAATTAAACCATAAACTCAGATTATCCTGGTACATTTGTCGTTCTTTCTCCATTCGGATTTACTTGATCAGTTTGCTACTTATCATTCAATAAATCTTAGGTAGATTTTTTTCAATCGCAAAGTATGACCAGTGGGACTTTCGACTGATTTAAATTATTGAGAGCCTGATGAAGTGAAACATATTGACATCAATTCCCAAAGAGTTATTTTGTAAGGATTTGATTTGGTTTAAGTTTGATCATGGATTGATGTCAGTTAGAGAACCATTGAAATTCATTGAGTTCTGGGCAGCCTTTTTCTCCCTAGTTTGGGACTTCTCAACAGTATGCGCTCCCACGACCCCGTCGGGGATCGACCCTAGGACCTTCAGATTACAAGGCTAAGCTGGCTGACCATTCACCCACTTGGGCCGAAATCAAATGGCCCATGAATTCACAGCCAGGTTGGGTGTGAAGAGAAGTATTCATCGATGACATTGACAGTCAGTCGTACCAAAATCGCGAAATGACCAATTTAAAATTCATTAACCACTGGATACTGGCCTAAGTGGCTGAATGATCAACTGGCTTCTTGTCGCGACCTGAAGGTCCCGACTTAGATCCCTGATAGTGTTGTGGGTGCATAGTTCCGAACAGTCCCGAACTGGGATGAAATAGCTAACCAATACTTCCTCGCTTCCAATGGTTCTCAAACTGACATCAGTCTGTGATGTCCAACTTGGAACAATAACATTTATTTGAATTCTTCTTGTAGAAATAAAAATGTTGTAGTTTTTATTCGACTATGACTGAAGTGTGTATACAATCGTTACATGTTTGTGTAACTGAGTTATGTTATTTGCTAAGTCATTTGAAATCCACACATAGCATTAATTGTCATTTTCACTGCCTTTCTTCTTCTCTTTGTTCTGACAGACCAAATAAATTCTCGGGTATCAAAGTCTGTGCTTTCCTCTGAAGCGTGTCACGAGGTTGAAGCACAAATACGTCATATTTTAATTATATTACGTGGTGGCGATGCTGTTGGAAGTAATAATAACAGCAGTTGGAATTATTCAAATTATATCCTTCCTAATGATAATGATGAGGTCAGTGATAGTGATGGGTATGGTGGATCAACTGACCGTTGTGTGTCTGCAAGTCTTATGCATCAAGGAGGTACAGGCAATATTAGCCTGTCATCATCCTCATCATCATCCAAAAACAACTGTTTATACTTTTATAATGTATCGAACGAATTTGCAGAATTACTGGAAACTAGTGTGAAATATTGTTCACCGGAGACATTAACTCACCTAATCAATACATCACAGTGGAAAAAGTAAGTTTTAATGGTTTTGTTTAGTGTTTAAGTATACTATCATTGAATTGGATGTGTTATCTGAGCTAGTCGATTTAACTGAGACGCTTTTGTCGTCCTCAGAGAAGCTTTTAGTATACAATGAACTCATCTGAATTCTCCATGATTAGTATAATCCTGTCTCCTGGCGACCATTGTCTTGACTGGTTGTTAATTTATGTCTATTGATCATTTTTATTGACTTCCAATTTGAACTTGTCATATGATTTACTCTTTATTAGTTGGCAAATTTGGTCTATAGTAATGTGTTTGTTAAATGCTGATTAACTTGGGTATCGGGCTTCTAGGAATTCCCTGGTATTACTATATATATATATATATATATATATATAACATCTTTTTACAGTCGATTTGTGTTCTTGGATTCGGTGGGACTCGAGGGGGACGCCTACTTTGACCGACGTAATCTGTCTTGCAGTCCATATAGTTCATTTTAAAAATGGTACTAATTTTATCTTCTTTTTCTGTTGGATCTTTTGGTTTCCACAGAATTGAATGAAGCGATTGTGTTGGTTGGTTTGTATTCTACATCTATGTCAAACCACCTTAATATTCTGTCTGCTATTTCACAGATATTTTTTATACATGGTAGGATGAATTTTCTTGTAGTCTCCGGTGTTTGTTTGTTGTTGGTGCTATGGCTCGGGCTTCACTTATTTGGGAAGTACCATCAGCCAGTGCCAACGGGTTGATCTCTGACGAAATCTCAGCACGGATACAGAGGGCTAGTTTCTCATATACCAATTTACGCCGTCTCTGGCGTAGACGAGATATCCGACTATCGACCAATGGGCAAGTGTACTGCTCATCAGTCCGCTCCGTCCTACTTTATGGCCAGCTGTCAGACCTGGTCATTGAGAGTGGAAGACATGAGAAGATTCGCTGTCTTTGATCACAGGTGCCTACGCCCTATCTCCCGTGTGAAGTGGTATAATAAGGTGAGCAATATTGAGATTAGGCGTTGGTCGAGTTCTAGGTAAGGAGGGGAAATCCATCGACGAGGTTGTGAAATTACATAGACTGAGATGGTTAGGACACGTGTTACGTATGTACAACTAGCCATCGCCTTCCTCGACAATGGACAATGTTAGCTGACATTGGCTCAGTCTGGAAAAGAGCTAGCGGAGGTCAAACAAAACATGACATCAGTCAATGAAATCTACAACAGTTAGTCTAATCCACGTAGGAAGGTGTAGACTTCCTGGCTGGTTGGGGTCCTCGGGACGGTAAAAACCAATGGTTGGAAACAATTGGTGATGTGGCTCAAAACCGTTCTCAATGACTGGTGCAGATGCATCCACTCCTTTTGACCTCCGATTTCCAATGAAACTGTTTTGGTCTTCGTTACTACTATTCCTTCGTCTCACACCTCTGTTTACTGTCTCTATTATGCCTTTCTTGTACTCTCTTCTGTTGCTTTGTGTGCTACATGGAGTGTGGCGACTTGAACTGTCGCACATATGTGCAAAGTTCTATGTCGAAAACAGACAGACAGATGACTCAGACTCAAACACTTTTTGATGAAATTGTGTGGATATCCATCCTTTTGGAAGACGGTTAGTAGGCTTTTTTTCCATCATTCTCTTCAATACAGGTGTGCTACAGTATGTTTTGACTCTTCTAAACAATGTCTGCACACAGTTTCTTCTGTGGGTGGGTAATCGAGTTATTACTATTATAGTTGAGTATTTGGTCTGTGTGCGTTGGTTTTCTATCTACTTTTGTCTCTTAAATTTCTGTGTTAGGTCTCCTGATTAAGACATCTAAGAATGAAATTCTTGCTGTCTAATTCTTCTTCTCTTGTGAATTTAAAGTCTTCAAATATATGTTGTTTGTTAATTTATGGGTATATTCCAAATTGCTTATATCAGTCTTGTATATTGTTGTAATGTTGTAAATATGTCATTATTAATGACAATCATAATAATTGTGATAATAATAATTATAATGATAATAAGGTCAATGATACCGAAAGTACAAGCAAGCAGTTGACGCAGTTGGTGATAAGAATAAAGAAGATAGTATGCTGATGTAAACAATTCAATAAATAAATAAATTAGGTCAATATCGTATAAAATTAAAAGTGGCGTAGTACTGAAGTTGAAGAGTGATGAATAGATTATCGGGGTTTATATGAAAAAGTACAAAGGTAGAGAAGAATAAAAAAAGGGTGGGCAGTTTTAATTAGTTCATTAAATTCATCTAGACAAAGACAGAATTAGAACTATTCACTCGAATTTACTTAGTTTTGCATATGCGTAAAAGGCAACTTCAAATTCCATTAGAAAGTTTCATTATTCGAATGTAATAGATAACTTTGAAGCCTCTCCTTTTGTCTATTTGATGACAAAATAGAGCCTTTGATAGCTTTTATTTGGCCTTTTCCAAACCACCGTAACATCCAGTAATTCAATATTAGCATTCCCAGTTTTCTTCGATAAGAGATTAGGGTCTATGTGGAGTTTGTTTGATCACTGTCACAGCTTGTAGGTTTTTCTTCAGGCATGACACACACACATTATGTTTTAATGTCAAGTGACTGGTTTATTGTGGGTTGAGTTATTTAGAAACAGCTTTCATCACAGGCTGAAGTGAGTGTAGACCGCACAATCATAGTACGTAGCACCAAACAACTATGGCATTAAACCATTCCATGTTGCAAAGTCAGGTCTTAGTGTCTTTTATAATTCTCGGTTGAAGCGATCACATTTTATGACTTTAGTTGGAATCTTAAAGATCTTGGCGACCTGCTTAAAACTTAGGCTACCGAAAACCACTATCAATACATTGCATATAGTTTCTCTTATTCACTCAAGTCTAGTAAAATATGACTTCTAATGGTGTTGTTTACTCCGGTGAGTATTCAAAAAAATTTACAGCCTGCGGTTTTTCAAGTTCCTATTAAATACGAGAAGAAGCATTGTCCTTGATGGCAGCTTATCCCAATACACGAGATAATTGTTCCTGAGTGGTGTCCTTGATTCACAAAATGTATTCCTGAACTTTTTATAACTGGCATTCAACAAATTTTCGTGTATTTGTTGAAGTAGACTAAGAAGATATATCATAACGGATTGGTTTGCACTTCAGGTCACACGATCTGCTGTCAGTTTATCTTTCATTTGAAGATACTGGGCGTAGTGAAATCAATCATGTAGTGAACTTGGCTGTAAATTCTGTACATTATACAAACACTGTTCAAAATGATGCTATTATTATCATTATTATACTTCCCGTTATTGTGTAGCATGATTCTGATTCTGTAGCATGATAAAACAATGGCTTTACTCTAACTAATCCGTCTGTTAAACTTTTAATCAAGTGAATCAAAATTGTAAAAATAAATTTGTTGTAAAATCTACCGGGGTTTAATTAGTCTCTCTGATAGTGTTGTTAAATATTCACATAGTAAGTATAGTTCACTGCTAAATATAAATGAACTTCAATGTAATTGGTAAATTTGTCTTTAGTCCATTGGAATTCAATAAATCGTTTAACTTTCACTTGCTATACTTTGAAATAGCATGCAACAGAAAGGCAGTGAATCAAATCAACAATATGTAGAAGCACTGTAGAAGCACTTTAGATGCAGCTGCCGTCTTATATCATAACATTGCTTCCAGCCTAGACAAGGGGGCTAAATTTATTCGTTGTGCCTTCCTAGACTATACATCTGCTTTTGACTCGGTCCCTAGGGACATCTTATTAAATAAACTTGCAGCTAGTCAAACAGAATGTTGGGCTGTTAACTGGTTACATTCCTATTTCTCAGAAAGAAAGCAGTACACCGTGTATAAAGGGAAGTCTTCCACTTCATTGCCTACTGAAGCTGGTGTCTCTCAAGGCGCTGTCCTTTCTCCTTTTCTTTTTTCTTTCTTTTTACATGACTTGCCTCACTCTGATGAAATAAACTTTGTGAAGTACACTGATGATTTAACAGTTTCAATGGCTGTTAACTCCCAGCTAGATTGTACCAAAATAAATAGCTTTCTGTTGAGAGTCAGTAAATGGTCTGAGTCTAACGGTCTTAAACTGAATCCTTCTAAATGTCAAACTGTTAATTTCAGCTTAAAATGTAAAAGACAGTTAAAAGAAGTCATCGATTCTCATGACAGTTGTAAAATTGACGACAATGATACAGGAATCAAATCAGAAATTAAGTATCTTGGACTTATTCTCTCTTCTGATCTCTCCTGGTCTTCCCATGTCTTAGCAATCTCCAGTAAAATATTTCGCCTGACATTTTACATTAAGAAGTTAAGACACTCGGGTATAACTCAACCCCTCATCTTACAGTTCGTAAACTCTTGCATCCTACCTATTCTTCTTTATTGCTCACCCTTATTCTTTCCTGGTTTGCTTAAAAAAGACTATGTCACAATTCGCAGAATACTGAAGACTGTCAGAAGGGTGAGTGGTGTCCCAGTGGACCACATAGTTAACGTCGTTGTCGATAGGCACTTGACTTCGTGCAATAAATTTGCTAGAGGGATTTTGTCTGACTTGGAGCATCCGCTTTACCCTCAGCTTTCACCTTGCATCTCCTCAGGTAGAACAAGGAGTAACTTCAGAAAACTGTATGCTCGCACGTCTAAGTATAGAAATTCTATGATACCATACTTGGCACGAATTTTATGTGATGAAAATAGTGTCAGGCAAGAATTAACTAACCTTTTTTCATCTAGTAAATAAACAATTTCCTCCATCCATCCATCCTTATATACCTTCAAGTTTTACTTTTATTACTTCTATTTTATTTATGGTCCTGTTACTTTTCTGTTTTACTCTCATAATTGCAAACACCAACTTATCTCCATGACGGCTGTAATCTTTGTTTTTCCCTTCACCATATCATGTAAAGAGAACATTATATTCAATATTTTTAAACATGTTAGGATTTCTATACCACATTGCCAATACTGTGTGACACAAGCCAACGGCAATTTTCACTTGTATTCTTATTATTATTACCCTAGCTGTTATCATTATTATTGCTATTTCCATTTTATATGCTGCATGTTTTTGACACTACCTCTATTGTAAGTGTGGAAAATTTTCTGTGTGATTAATTTTATTTATAATTTGAGGAAATTAGATGCAATATTGTGATTAATGCTGAAAATTCCATTCTGTATCACAAGTACTGTTTTTGGAATAAAGTAAATCATTATTATTATTATTATTAGAAAGAGTGTAGAAAGAGTGAATGCACATGCACTGTCATTGAGAACGATTTTGAGCGATATGGCCAAGTCTCCAGTGTATAACAATCCATGAAATACCTAACTACTGATCTAAATGGTATAACGTAGGATATAATGCTTACTTATCTGTTTCGATTGGCTTAGGAGCAAGCTAGTTGAGACTTTCGATGATCTAATCTAAACTCGATACAAAAAGGTATACCATCGAAAATTTTGGACTTATTCTTAAGTCGGACGACAAAAATATATGGACAATCTATACTTCTTTCTTAAGCCAGCTGTTAGAGATTTCATGGATTGTTGACATGTCTTCGTCTCTTTTTTCTTTGAGCTGATGTTGTGTTTCAGTCTAGATATTTATTCTTCGCCTAATTTTCTTTAAACATTAATTTCTGTGAATGACCTCCTATCATAGGAATATATGAATCGTAAATAGAGTGATGACTGTTCACGAGTAATTTCTAATGAGCATGTAATTTGATCGGATTATTCTTTTTCCCAAAGGCAAAATAGGGTTAAACACGACGTACGAAACAAAGAAACACCTTTTCTCTCATTCACTCTTTTTCCCTCTCTCTCTCTTGTCCTTATCACACCTAAATCTCCTTTTTTGTTTATCATCGAGAAAACATTTTAACTGAATATTTTACACCTAAATATGTTCTGTTGCTTTTGTGCTCCTTTCCTCTTTTTGCGTTAATTTGTTTCATTTTTTAATGTATTTTTACAATTATTACGTTAGTCATTTTTGTGGCCTAATTATTCTTAAATATAAAAAACAACTGTATGCTTGGGATGAATAATTTAGTCAGCTTGAGTAAATTGTTTTTTATCTGTGTTTGATTACGATCTGACGTCAGTTAGAGAACCACTGGAAAACCAGTGATGGACAATTGTTCGTCCTAGCTTGGGACTCTTCATCAGTACACATCCACTGCCGTTGGGACCCGTGACCTTCGCATTACAAGGCGCTGTCTGTCTCTGTCTGTCTGGATTCAGCATAGAACTTGGCACCGAAGTGCACCAGTTCGACTTGCCGTGTTCCAAATACCACACAAAGGTAGACAAGAAGATGATTGAAGAGAATCAATAGAGTTTGACAGGTATAAGAGTGAAACAGAATGGGTAATGGTAGAAAGAAATATGAAAGATTACAGAGACTGAATACATCTGCGCTGGTCATTGACAACGATTTTGAGCCATGTCACCTATTGTCTCCAGCCATTGATTCCTAGAGTCCCGAGGAATTACAAGGCGCGTTCGCGCTCGGTGGGTGACTACTGATGAAGTGTCCCAAACTAGGATGAAACACCTATCCAGTACTCCCTGGTTTTCTAATGCTTCTTTAACTGATGTCAGATCGTAATCAAAACTGCAGCCGATTGAATCCCTGAAAATCGACATCTTGACTGTTGTTATTGTAATCGTTGATGATGACAATGATATTTAATCTACTGTTCATTACATTGTCATACTGAATTAGTTGAACCTGTTCCCTCAGCTGATCCGATGAGGTTTCTGTCAGTAATTCAGTGGCATAAAAAGCGGTGGCTTAAACTTTCATGTTATAAATGAACTGCTTAAACACTTTTGACAGTGATCATAGCAACTTTTAACATATCTTTTTTATCGTCACCAATTTTCCCATGTTGGTTTAATTCCAGTCAATATGAAAGAACTAAATAAGCAACAAGTAAGATAAGAGTAATTCATTGTAGAAGTATCTGGGGCGGGAATCGAACTCACCTACTCATTGTATTTAGTATACAATTATATTATACCGTAGTCACCGAATTCCACTGTAACATTAGCTGTACAATGGTATTTATAGTTGGTAAAACGTATAACGGTATATTATTGAATACGGAATGGGGGAGAAATGACATTGATGCAGTTATACGTAAGTACTTTCTAAAGATAGCAAAACGAATTAAGCAATAATCAACACAACAATAAAAGTAAGCATTGGTTTGTAGGGATTTGGTTGATTGGTTACAGGATTTCATCGTGAGCTGACATTGATTAGAGAATGATTGGAAAACCAGCTGGGAGTACTGGACAGCTGTTTCGTCCTAGTTTGGGACTCTTCAGCAGTACGTACCCGTCGGGACTCACGATATAGCGCAACCGTGAATTGGTAGAGGTTAGAATTCATGGGCCATTGGATCGGGTCCCAGTGGTTTAATGGTATACGAGCTCGCCTTGTAACCAGGAGGTCCTGGGTTCGAGCCCCGGCAGGTACTTACTGATGAAGAGTCCAAAACCAGGACGAAACAGCTGTCCAGTACTCCTTGGTGGGTTTTCCAATGGTTCTCTAACCAATGTCAGCTCATGATGAAATCCTGTAACCAATAAAAGTAAGCCCTTAAAATTTGAAATGGTGAGTATTTTTATTAAATGTGATAAACATTTTGGTTTGGAAAGTGTGAAATAGCCTCAATTTTCAGATTGAGAATACTAAAAGTACTCAATTGAATCCACCTGCATTATAGTGGTATAAAGAGTGATTAAGGATTGTCATTTTTAACACCAATAGTCATGAAAAGTGTCGCAGTCTCAGTTAATTCAGTTCTGTACAGGACTTTCCATTTTCAAGTTAGCTTTTTTTTCTGGTTAATTAAGAAGAATATAATAAACGGTTTCATTTATTGAAGTAAAAGGTTAGTTTGATGTATGGTACACGTGATGTGAAGTAACTTTAGAGAAATCATAATTGTTCAATGAATGAACTCATTTAATGTGTTGTGTAATTTGATAAATAATGTTAATGTAAGTGTAGAACTTGGGCACTGTGGTAGCATGTAATTTCCATATTAGATGAGTTTATTTTAAATGTCACACAGTGATGGTGCATTAAAAACAACTGAATAACAAAGTTTCGAGCATAAATTATTGCTCATAATCATATCAATTCAGTCACATGGTTTCATACTTTGTCTTATATATATTTTTCTCTCTTTTATTGTCTCTTCAACTTCCCTTGTTGTTTGTTGCCACTTTCTGTATCTCCGGTATAAACACTACGTCATTCCGATTGCACGTGTGCGGTGTTGAATCGATAAAGAAAGCTTGAGTGGTTTACCTCTCTGTCTCTCCACTTAACTATATTACTTTTTAAAACTCTCACCCTGTTCCACCAAAATAATAATAATAATAATGTTACTTAGTTCATTATGTTTAATTATTTTTTTCTTATTTTACCTTTATTTTTAGAACTTATCAATCAGTGTGTAAAGCAGTTGAATTCCGTTTTCTACCAATGTATTTAGAAAGTCCAGAGTATATAAAGCATTCATTCGGTTTTACACTGAGTTTAATGTCATCAGCATCATTGAGTAAATTTGGAGTGTAAGTTGATAATTTCATAATGTGTTCGATATATTTTCCTGACTCTTGAACCATATATATATATATATATATATATCCTTTTTGTGGTATGATGTGGTACTGAAAAGGAAAGGAAACGCCTTGGTGTTTTGCAGTTACTGTGATCAAGATATTTTTTTCCTTTCTCATGCCTTGCTTTTTGTATGGATAAATAGGTCTTTAAGCTTTGAGGTGCTTGTAGAGATGAAGTTACTAGTTTCACTCCACATCTTCCATCCTATTCCAGGCTTTCTACTGGCAAGCAAACTAGGCGAGGTTTCAGCGTATATCGGTTAGGAATCGATCTTGAATATCCTGTGTCCGATTAGTGAGCATTTTCTGTCTGTTTTCGACATAGAACTTTACACATATGTGCGACAGTTCAAGTCGCCACACTCCATGTTGCACACAAAGCAACAGAAGAGAGTACAAGAAAGGCATAATAGAGACAGTAAACAGAGGTGTGAGACGAAGGAATATTAGTAACGAAGAACAAAACAGTTTCATTGGAAATCGGAGGTCACAAGGAGTGGATGCATCTGCACCAGTCATTGAGAACGGTTTGAGCCACATCACCAATTGTTTCCAACCATTGGTTTTTACCGTCCCGAGGACCCCAACCAGCCAGGAAGTCTACACCTTCCTACGTGGATTAGACTAACTGTTGTAGATTTCATTGACTGGTGCCATGTTTTGTTTGACCTCCGCTAGCTCTTTTCCAGCCTGAGCCAATGTCAGGTAACATTGTCCATTGTCGAGGAAGGCGATGGCTAGTTGTACATACGTAACACGTGTCCTAACCATCTCAGTCTATGTAATTTCACAACCTCGTCGATGGATTTCCCCTCCTTACCTAGAACTCGACCAACGCCTAATCTCAATATTGCTCACCTTATTATACCACTTCACACGGGAGATAGGGCGTAGGCACCTGTGATCAAAGACAGCGAATCTTCTCATGTCTTCCACTCTCAATGACCAGGTCTGACAGCTGGCCATAAAGTAGGACGGAGCGGACTGATGAGCAGTACACTTGCCCATTGGTCGATAGTCGGATATCTCGTCTACGCCAGAGACGGCGTAAATTGGCATATGAGAAACTAGCCCTCTGTATCCGTGCTGAGATTTCGTCAGAGATCAACCCGTTGGCACTGGCTGATGGTACTTCCCAAATAAGTGAAGCGGTTTACGTGCTCTACCACTTCACTTCCTATTTCTAAACTAGGAGTCAGTGTAGTTCAGTCGTGTAACATCACCTTACATTTGGTGGGGGCGAATCGCATGCCAAACATTCGTAAATTGCAGCTTAGGGTTTTCAGAAGACTGCGTTTTGTCAGCATACTCGCCTAAAAGAACTTTATCGTGTGCATATTCTAAGTCAACAAGATTATTCCCTGGTAGCAAGTCAATCCGTGAGTCTCTGTAGTGAGTTAGGGTTGGGTGAGCATTTTACCAATGAGGCTTTGGTGCGTGAATAATTCTGTTACATTAATCATAATAAAATAGTAGAAAATCACAGCCTTCAGTAACTTCAATTATGTTTCTTTAGTTATTTTTGGGAATGATGATAATAATAAAATTTATTTCATAAAGCTATGTATTGTTCTTTTTTTAAGTCGTGTGATTATGTTATTTTGAAATATCATAGATTGAAATCACTAATAGAATTCAATCATGTACTTTGCAAATACTAAAGTACACATTGAATACAACTTTTTTTTGTGGAAAGCAGTCTGAAATTTATTGTAATGTGTGTTTTACGGCAAGAAATTAGTCAATGTAATGAATGAGCGAATAAATATCACGACAATATTATACGATGACAAGTTGTGTGTGTGCAGTTGATAGTGTACGGGTGACTGGCACTTCCCAGTTACCTTCTGTAGAATTCATTTAAATTGTATTTTATGTATTGTACTGTCACAGGGATTACCGACTCGCCTGTCCGTTAATGCCAGTTTTTATATTGATTTATAACATTGTGTATATATCTTCCCCAGTGTGGTTTAACTAATTAACTTCATTGCTATTTACTAGACAGCTATTGATTGTCGTTTATTTATCCATTTGAACTCATTTCTTTTTTATTTCAATGAAAGTGATCGTTAAGTTATCATTCGAAACATACAGTAAATATGATTATGAAAACAAAACACGTAGTTCAGCGAAAAAGTCTCTTCTCGGCGAATTCATTTTCCCCCTCGTCTGTACAATCGCATTTGTATACAACCTCTGCTACTACCTTTTTGCAACCATGTGGGATAGTGTTTTTGGGCTCCTTTAGAGAGGATACGCGTCGAACGACCAATGTACCTGGCTCCACAGCAACAGGTGAACTGATATATGCACATAGAAGCAGTCAGACGCAAGATCTTGTCTTTCAGGCTTCACGAACGCTATCCTGCATGGTTGCAAAAGGCTAGTAATGACTCTATAAGGAGTGCAATAATCGAACACCTTGTCAACACTAACCATTCCAACTCAACAAACATCTCCTTCAAAGTGAAGAATTACCTGCCAAAAGCAATACGCTTTCATCTCCTTTGCATTTTTGAAGCTTTAGTCATTCATTTAAAAAAAACCGAAGGTATATATATAAAAGAAAATTATTCAACCACCTCCCCTCTGCTATCATGGTAACAACCTTGTTGATTTCTACTCGCTTCACTTGTTTGTTTGTCTGTTTTTCTAACTCTTGTATTTCTTTAGAACTTTTACATTCTATATTTCCGTTCGTTTCCATGTGCATTCTGATTAAAACTCACTCATTAGATTATTCGTCTTATTTTTTTCCTTCAAGTTCCCCAGTGGAACATACGGCTTCAAGCTAGTGGCTCGAAGTTTCTGTAGGAGTGTGTTTATTTTATAGGATGGGGTTGCTAGCCTCATACCCAACCTTTGCTCTTTACCAGCATTATTTCTGGCTTAGTGAGGTCAAGGAGTGCGTCGGCCAGGGTTCGAACGCCAGACCATGTGCGTGGTCGGCGAGCGTCCTTACCACTATGCCACCGACGCCATCTTATTCATCTTATTACTCAACTGCAGTATACTTATTCACCTCCTTTTATCCTTTGGCTAACATTGATTACTATGTTTGTTTTTTCGGCGATTTCATTCTCAAAAGCTGTACAATCGCATTTATATAGATTATTTTAACATGGATAGAATTATTATTTGTTTAATTTCACATAGTAACGAAGGTGATAATAATTTTCAACTTGATATGATGGTTTGAAGGTACGAATATAGATTACAAGAGGTTTAGAGACAAGATTTCATAGTAATTCATATCAAGTCGAAAATAATTATCACCTTCGATTCGCCTTTAAAATTATTTCTCCAGTTATCAAATATTAATTTTTTGCATACGTTGTAACTATTTTCTAATCCTATGAAATCTTGTCTCTAAGCCTCTTGTAATCTATATTCGTACCTTCAAACTATCATATCAAGTTGAAAATTATTATCACCTTATGTGAAATTAAACAAATAATAATTCTATCCATGTTAAAATAATCTATATAAATGCGATTGTACAGCTTTTGAGAATGAAATCGCCGAAAAGATATTTTTGCTGAACTTCGTGTTCTCTTCTTTCTAATGTCCATATGGGTATTTTCCAAGTACTATGTTTGTGACAACTCATCACTTTTGTTACTACCCTGTTTCATGAAAAAGGAGATTGTATATAAATGCGATCGTACAGCTCAATGGGAAAATGAATTCTTCGAAGGGAGCTTTTTCACTGAACTACGTGTTTTGTTTTCATTAATGCGTGAATAAAAGATTATTCATGAACTTGAACATTGGAGTTGATCATGTGGCTGTCATATGTTTATTTATTGATATGTGTTTACCACTAAATTTACTGAAAAATAATCATTCTTTAAGTAAAACAAAGCAAAGATAAGGTGTATGGTGATTACTGAATCAGGTTTACTTTGCTGCTTGTCTTTCAGTTTCTCTTTACACTTATTTATTCACTCTTTCTTCCATCGTCTGTTTTTAATCGCACTACTTCGTACAGAAGTATATCTTGTCATCTTTTGAAAAAGTAGACAAAAATAGTATTACACTGCAGTGAAGTAGCATGAATATATTATGTGGAATAATTTAACAAAGATTGATGTAGCTGCAGTGAACGATTTTAAGCCATTTCAGCTAGATCTTCCAATCATTGAGTTTTAAGGTTTCCTCATCCAGGCAGTCTATTAGAATCTTTCTCGGATCAGGCCTCCAAAGCCTCAGGATGGTCGGGGGTGGGTGCCTTGCGCTGCGGGTTGGCCACCCCTCCGCACACCTCTTGAAATGCTCCCATATGACCGGGCGTCTTACATAGCCTCTCCTGAGGAAGTCCTACTCACTGCCTTCACGTGGCGGAGGTGTTTTTCACCAAAGTGAGAGGGCAAAAGCGGATGCCCGGCGCTCTTCACCGGGTTGACTGTCCATTGGATGACAGTCTAGGGGAGATGGCTAAACCCTGATTCCAAACCTCCAACGACTGGCGTATGAAGCTCACCGGGGCTCACCGGCAGACGTATGGACAAAGGGCTTATTGGATGCCCTGGATGACTGGCCCCATTCAAAAAGGCGAATGAACCGGACTCCGGTCACCGGCTGCCAATGGATAGTGGACTCCCTACTCCACTCCTACTGCCTTGTAGGTCACACTTGGTTGTGTAAAGGCTAGAGCTGCACTCTCAAACAAAGGCCGAGCGATGCTGGGGACATCACTCGTACCCAATTCCCATGAAACTTCATGGTTCATGAAGCCGGCTCATCCTCCCGTAGGAGATAGCCGAAGTAAAGTAAAGTAAGTAAAATAGCCGATGAATTCGTAGACTGGTATCGTGCTTTTATATTACTGCATCATCAGCATCTTTCAGCACGTATCCTGCTGCGGCTAACATTTCAGCTCAAGAGAATATATTAACTGTGAAGTCAACACTGGAATTCTAAGTGACAGTGTCAATTTCACATAT